CAGAGAACCCAGGAGTCCTGGCTCCCAGCCCCCCTGCTCTAACCACCAGCCCCCCTCCCCTCCCAGAGCTGGGGAGAGAACCCAGGAGTCCTGGCTCCCAGCCCCCCTGCTCTAACCACCAGCCCCCCTCCCCTCCCAGAGCTGGGGAGAGAACCCAGGAGTCCGGGCTCCCAACCCCCCCTGCTCTAACCACCAGCCCCCACTCCTCTCCCAGAGCCAGGGAGAGAACCCAATCCCGAATCCGATGCACGTGGGAATTGCCCGGGTTGGATTCGCACTCTGCTCCCAGGAGGCCCAAGAAGAACAATGCTGGTGCCCCACGGACCCGCCGCACCCCACATTTCCTGGCCACGGTAGAGTCCGGGCCCGGACTCCAGAGTCAATCCCTCAAACGCCCGGGAACAAAGCCATCAAGATGCCGGGCTGTGTTCCGACGCGTCCGGCTCTCGGCCAGGGCCCAGCCGGAGAGGTGATCCCCGCGGGGTCCCGGGAGACCCTCTATCACAGAGCAGAGCGGGGGGCGAAGGGCGCACTCACCCCAGCGTGGTCATGGTGACGATGGTGTACCAGAAGGCGGCCGGGATGCTGGTGAAGTTGGTGCTGCGGGTCCCTTTCTCGGCGTAGAACATGACGGTGGCGAAGATGATGATGGCCATGGTCAGGGAGAAGAGGAGGAAGCCGAGCTCCGAGGCGCAGCTCTTGAGTGTGTAGCCCAGGATCCGCAGGCCCTGCGAGTGCCGGGAGAACTTGAAGATGCGGAAGACCCGGAAGACCCGCAGGGTGACGAAGGCCCCGCTGACGTCCTCGTTCTCCGGCATCACCAGCCCGATGTAGTAGGGCAGGATGGCCACCACGTCGATGATGCTCATGACGCTGCGCAGGAACCGGCAGCGGCTGGGGGCGGCGAAGAGCCGCAGCAGGTACTCGCCGGTGAAGATGAGGACGCAGGCCGTGTCCATGCAGGAGAAGGCCAAGGGGAAGCGGTCGCCGCAGGGCTGCTGGCGCTTCCGGCCGGGCGGCGGCTGGCAGGGGATGGTCTCCACCACGTTGGCGATCACCGAGACGGCGATGAAGAAGCCGGTGACGTAGTAAAAGACCAAGGCCACCGTGCTGGTGTGGGGGTTCTCGAAGGCCCGCCACAGCCGCTGCCGGACGGTGCTGTCCGGCGGCAAGGAAAGGTCGGTGGCGCTCTCCGCTTCCTCGTCCTCGGCCAGCCGCTCGGCGTTCTCCTTCTTGCGGTCGCGGTACTCCTCCAGGCAGCAGTCCCCGATCAGCTCCGGGATGATGCCGTAAAAACTCAGCTCCTCGTCGAAGGCCTGGATGCACTCATGCCGGGGGTAGTGCAGGTGGCCGGTGCGGTAGAAGTTCAAGACGTGGCGGAAGATCTCCGGGTCGCGGTCGAAGAAATACTCCTGGCTGTCCTCGTCGTAGAAGAACTCCTTCTCCGAGCTGCCCAGCAGCGTGTCCGGGTACCGGTCCAGTGTGTTCTGCCAGGTCTGGAACCGCCGGCCGCTCACGTTCACCACCAGGATCTCGTCGCCCCGGGGCCGCTTGTCGCTGGGCGGTTTGGGGATCGGCTTCTTGGCCAAGGGCAGCCAGCCCACGGCGGCCGCACGGGCGAAGGGCAGCCAGGTGGCCACGCCGGCCGCCATGGTGGCCGGGCGCGGGGGTCGCCGGGGCAGGGAGGGGGCGTCAGCTCAGAACGGGGTGGGCGCCAAAGCTGGAGGTGCCCGGGCAGTGGCCTTGGGACCCAGGAGATGGGGCGCCGGCAGGAGGAGGGGTTGTCTCCAAACGTGGCTGTGTCCGAGGGAGGGCGGGGCAGGTCTCAGGACCCAGGAGATCAGGGGCAGGTCTCAGGACCCAGGGCTCTGCTAGCTGTGGGTCCCTCGTGGGGACCTGCCCGGGGCTCAGCCGTCTCTGAAACACGAGCACCCAGCCCGCGTCGCTGTGGGGCACGGAGCCAGGGTCTAGGGGGAGAAACGAGTCGCTCCTGGTCACGGTCTCAGGTACCCCCCGGTCTCGGCCGCCCCCTCTCCAGGCATGGGGGGGGGTGTCCTGGGCTCCCCCACGCCGCTGGCTCTTGGCAAAGGGCCCGAAGGGCTCGGCAGCCGGGGGCGTCTCAGGGTGCTGCGGGCAGGAGAGAGGAGACGTGAGACAGAAAATCAAGAACTGCAGATTGGACACCTCAGCCCGGACGCCTGGGTTCTCTCCCGGCTCTGGGAGGGGAGTGAGGGCTGGTGGTTAGAGCGAGGGGGGGCTGGGAGCCCGGACGCCTGGGTTCTCTCCCGGCTCTGGGAGGGGAGTGAGGGCTGGTGGTTAGAGCAGGGGGGTCTGGGAGCCCGGACGCCTGGGTTCTCTCCCGGCTCTGGGAGGGGAGTGAGGGCTGGTGGTTAGAGCAGG